TGGGAGACGCGGGCCGCCGTTTTTTCAAACGAGGACCGAACACCACAGGACGGTTGGGAAAAAAAATCCTGGTGAAGGACCCAACCATATGCAGATATGCAGTTATGGGTAACGCTGAGTATCGTCTTTGGTGGGGCTGGCTGTGCGGCCACGAAGCGTGTGAGGAGTGTGCCGAAATGGGCGGGGGGCGCATGGGAACACTGCCACTGGGGCCTTCGGTGAAACTCTCTTTGGGGCCACGAAACGTGTGAGGGGTGTGCCAGAATTGGGCGCGTGAGCACTGCCGCTGGGGCATTCGGTGGGGCTCCCTGTGTGGCCACGAAACATGCGAGAGGCGCGCTGGAATGGAAGGGTGGAGCCGCATGCCGGTGCTGCCATCGGGGCCTGACGTTTCGCTCCTTGTGGGGCCACGAAGCGTTCGAGGGGTGTGCCAAAATGTGCGCGGGGGACACATCGGACCACTGCCGCTGGGGCCGTCGGTGGGGCTCCCTGTGTGGCCACGAAAAAAAACGTGTGAGAGGCGCGCCTGCATTGGAGGGTGGAACTGCATGCGGGTGCTGCCATCGGGGCCTGACTTTGAGCTCCTCATGGGGCCACGAAACGTGTGAGGGGTGTCCCGAAATTTGAACGGTGTGAAGGGCAGAGGCAGGGATGGGAGGAGGGGAGGGAGGAGGTGGGAGACGCGGGCCGCCGTTTCTTCAAACGAGGACCGAACACCACAAGATGGTTTGGAAAAATATCCTGGTGAAGGACCCAACCATCTGCAGAAATGCAGTTGTGGGTGACGCAACTGTGAGTATCGTCTTTGGTGGCGCTCCCTATGCGGCCACGAAGCGTGTGAGTGGTGTGCCGAAATGGGCGGGGGGGCGCATGGGAATATTGTTACTGGGGCCTTCGGTGAAACTCTCTAATGGGCCACGAGCCGTGTGAGGGGTGTGCCAGAATGGGCGCGGGGGACGCATGTGAGCACTGCCGATGGGGCCTTCGGTGGAGATCTTCATGGGGCCACGAAGCGGATTAGGGGTATGCCGACATGGGCGGAAAGGGCGCATGGGAGTACTACCATCGGGGTCTTCGGTGGAGCTCCCTATGGGGCCACGAAACGTGTGAGGGGTGCGCCGAAATCAGCGGGTGGCGCATGTGAGCACTGCCACTGGGGCCTCAAGGAGACGTGTGAGGGGTGTGCCGGAATGGGCGCGAGGGACGCATGTGAAGACTGCCATTGGGGCCTTCGGTGGGCTCCTTACCGTGCCACGAAACGTGTGATGGGTGTGCAGATATGGGCGGGGGGTGGGGGGCGAGCGCATGGGAGTATTGCCATTGGGGCCTTCGGTGGAGATCCTTGTGGGCCACGAAGCGCGTGAGGGATGTGCCGAAATGCAGGGTGGAACCCCATGTGGGCGCTGCCGCTGGGGCCTTCGGTGGAGCTCCCTGTGTGGCCACTGCACCGGACGCGGCCGCTGGGCCCTTCTGTGGAGCTATGGGGCCACGAAGAGTTTGACGGGTCTGCCGGAATGGGCGCTGGGGACGCATGTGAGCACTGCTGCTCTGTGGGGCCACGCAACGAGTGAGGGGTGTGCCGACATGGGTGGGTGGGCTCATGTGAGCACTGCCATTGAGGTCTTCGGTGGAGGTCCTTATGGGGCCAGTAATCGTAGATGCAAGGTGCGCCGAAATTTGAAGGGGGGCGCATCTGGCCACTACAATTGGGGCTTTCAGTGGAGATCTACATGAGGCCACGAAGCGTGTTAGGGGTGTGCCGAAATGGGCGGGAGGGCGCATGAGAGTGGCACATGTGAGCGCTGCCATTGGGGCCTTCGGTGGAATGCCTTATGTGGCCGCGACCCGCGTGAGGGGGGTCCCGAAATGTGTGGGGGGGATGCGTGTGGCAACTACCACTGAGGCCTTCGGTGGAGCTCCCGATGAGGCCTCGAATCGTGTGAAGGATGTGCCGGATTGAGGGCGGGGGGCGCATGTGAGCTTTGCCACTGGGGCCTTCGGTGGAATGCCTTCTGTGGCCGCGACCCGCGTGAGGGGGGTCCCGAAATGTGTGGGGGGGACGCGTGTGACAACTGTAACCGAGGCCTTCGGTGGAGATCCCGATGGGGCCTCGAATCTTGTGAGCGGTGTGCCGGGATGGATGGGGGGACAAATGTGACCATTGCCATTGGAGCCTTCGAGGGGCCTCCTTATAGGGTATAGGGCCACGGAATGTGTGAGGGGTGTTTCGAAATGGATTTAGGAGACGCGTTTGGCTAATGCTACTGGGGCCTCCTTCAGTGGAGCTCCCTACGGGGCCACGAAACGTGTGAGTGGTGTGCCCGAATGGGCGCGGGTGGATGCGTGTGGCCATTGCCAGTGGGGCCTTCGGTGGAGCTCCCTATGGGGCCGCGGACCGCGTGAGGCATGTCCGGACATGGGTGGGGGGACGCATGTGGCGATTGCCTCTGGGGCCTTCGGTGGAGCTCCCTATGGGGCCTCGAATCGTGTGAGGGGTGCGCCAAATGTGTTTAGGGGACGCATGTGGGCACTGCTACTGGGGCCTCTGGCGGAACTCCTGATGGGACCGCGAACCGCGGGAGGGGTGTCCCCAAATAAGTGGGGGGACGCATGGGGCCACTGCCATTGGGGCCTTCGGTGGAGCTCCCTATTGGGCCACGAAACGTGTGAGGGGTGTGCCCACAAGGGCGCAGGGGACGCATGTGGCGACTGCCACTGGGGTCTTCGGTGGAGCTCCGTATCGGGCCACGAAACGTGTGAGGGGTGTGCCGACATGCGTTTCACTGCCATTGGGGCCTTGGGTGGAGATCCATATGGGGCCATGAAGCCTGTGAGGGGCGTCCCGACATGGATTTAGGAGACGCATATGGCTACTGCCACTGGGGCCTTTGGTGGTGCTCCCTATGGGGCCACGAGACGTGCGAGGAGTGTGCCAGAAGTTCTTTAGGGGACGCATGTGGACACTGCAACTGGGGCCTTCGGAGGAGCTCCCTATGGGGCTGCAAAGCGTGTGACGGATGTTCCGAAATGAGCGCGGGGGACAGAAGCGCCACGAAACCGGTGAGGGGTGCGCCGAAGTGGGCGGGGGATCCCACGTGGTCGCGCCCGCTGAGAATCTTATCTGGGTGGAGCCCCCATATAGGGCCACGAAACGTGTGAGGGGTGCGCCGAAATGGTCAGGGAACCTGCATGTGATCGCGCCCACTGCGGCCGTAGATGAAGGTCCCCGTCGAGTCACGGCGACGACGACGACGACGACGACGACGACGACGACGACGACGACGACGACGACGACGACGACGACGGCGACGGCGACGGCGACGACGGTGACGACGACGACGATGACGACGACGACGACGACGGCGACGACGACGACGACGACAACGACGACGGCGGCACCTACGACGACGACGACGACGACGACGACGACGACGACGACGACGACGACGACGACGACAGCGACAGCGACAGCGACGACGACGACAGCGACGACGACCATGGCGGCGGCGGCGGCGCCGCCGCCGACCTCTGGAGCCCTCCGACGACGGCGGCGGCGGCGACGACGACCTCCGGAGCCCTCCCGGAGCAACACAGTACCACGCCACACACGCCACACCCACAGCACCACACCACACCTACAGGGGGGGAGGGGGAGGCCATCGCGCGGGGGAGGGAGGGGCCGGGGCGGGGGGGGGGCCCAGACCTTGGACCATATGCAGCGCACCGCAGGGCAGTGTGGATAGGGTGCTTTCCTGTGGGGCGCGAAGCAAGCGAGGGGTGTGCCGTAATTGGCGGGGAAGGCTACGCGGGCACATTCAGTTGTGCTGCAGGTGGAACTCCGACCGTGCAGGGCACGAAACGTGTCAGGGGTGTGCCGAAGTGGGCGGAGGGGCCGCATGTGGATGCACCCACTGGGGACGTAAGTGGAGCTGACTGTGGAGCCAAGACCCTCGTGAGAGATATGCCGAAATGTGCAGGAGGGCTGCATGTGCACGCACCCATTGGCGCCGTAGGTGGGGCTCCCTGTTTGGCGCGAAAAATTTGACGGCCGTGCCAACATTGGGGTCAGCATGCGAACCTACTCGCAGTGGCACTAGGTGAGGCTCTGGTGATACAACGGAACTTGTGAGGGTGCGGCCAACTATGCAGATGGGCCGCATGTGGACGCTTCCACCAGCGCCGTAGGTGGGGAGCTCCTTGCCTTGTAGTGATACGATCTTCGTGAGGGGTGTGCCGAAATGGGGGGGCCGCATGTGGGCCCACCCACTGGCGCTGTGGGTGGAGCTCCTTCTGGTGCACCGGAACGTGCGAGGGGTGTGCCGAAGTTGGCGGGGCGGCCGCATGTGGACACGGACAGCCGAGGCAGTGAGATGGGAAGAGGAGGGAGGAGGGAGGAAGGAGGAGGAAGAGGAGTGGGTGCGTAGGGTTTGGCCGTGGGGAGGTGGCAGGACAGGTTTGCACGGCTACAGACATCGTCTCTTACAGCCGTTAGCAGCAGCAGCAGTGGGTGCGCGATGTTGCGGATTCAGAGGTCCCAACTTCCACAGCAGGGCAAGGAGCAGAAAGGCCAGCTGCGCGGAAATTGGCGAGCATGCTGCCCGCGCGAGCTCGCGCGTGAGCAACCTGTTCTCCACGCGGTGCACCGTGCCGGCGGCCTGCGTAAGCCGCCGTGTGAGGTCGCCGCTTTCATGCGCACGACCCCTCATCTTGGTCGATCACTTGGAAGACCTCGTTGATCTGCCCTGGCCGCGGCCTGCCAAATTGCTATCTTTCCTAACGCGCTGCAGTTGGACAGTCCTTTGAGATAGTTAGCGAGGGCAACTATTGTGGCGGATGTTTTACAACAACAAAAAAATGTGAACTCGTTTTTGACCTAAATTGTGTTTGATGCATAATAGTTGTGAAGCAGAGCCGGCATGTCAATGGCGCCCTGGTCCGATTCTTTGGACCCCTTGGTTAAGTCTGGACGTCCAATATGGCCAGCCGACGCCTTTGCTGAGGCTTTGGAGGAGGACCGCTGCAGGGTGCTGAGGGGGGCGTGTGAGGAGGTGCAGTGCTTGCAGCGTATCTACACGGACCTACAGAATTCGGTCGAGGAGCAGCAGGATTCTTTGGACACGCTCGAGACCCATCTCGCAGCGGCTGCTACTGACGTTGAGCGAGGTCGTGAGGAGATCGAGTACGCGACTAGGTACTGGCGACACCCCGAAAAGGCTATCACATTCCTTTTTTGTCCACCCAGTTTCCCTCTGCATCCTCCGCATTGCTTCCCTGCCATTCTTCCCCGTCTATCCCCTCTCCCCTCCTCCGCCTCACGTTCCACCTCCTGCCCCATCACTCCATGTGGGCGAGGCGAGGAACTGCCTGTTGGGGGGGGCTCCCAAGGTACGCTGGCAGGTACGCATGGCTCCGGCACAGGATGTGGGCCCTGGCGGGGGGCTCGCTGACCGTTGTGGCGGCTTTGGCGTTCCTGACCTCGAACTGAGGATTCGCCCTCGGGATGAAGAAACCGCGTCTGACTGTCTTGGCAGCCTCCTCAGCTGGCGTGGCGTCCGAGAGCACGCGCAGGTCTGCACCATTTTACAACCGAATCCTGAACGGAATCGGTCAGGCGTAGACCCTGGGCCTCGCGTCGGAAGGGCACTCGGGCGGGACCTCAAGAGCGAGGGAGAGTCTTGGCGAGGGGCCTGGGCGGCACTCCACGGTGGACTCGCCTCCCCTGCGGGTTCACCCTTGAGTCCTCTTTTTGCGCAGGCCGCGGCATTTCGCACGAGCATTGCGAGATGCGTCCTGGCGTCTACAGCGATGACATACTCCCAGGCCTTTCACAGTTCGAGAGCGTTGGAAAACAATAGTAGGCAGGCTGTGTGCGGCGACCGCTCACGATGGTCAGATTGCCTGGATCATGGCGAGGTCATGGCCGGGTTGTGGCAATTCACGATCACACGACAGCGACCCATGTCGAATAGCCAGTTATAGTTGCCTGTAGCGCGATCATAAGTTGACCATAGGCCGATCAGAACGTGCGAGAGTCGGTGTTGGGGACACCCCTATTGTTGCTTCATCTGCCATGCAGCTCGTCCTTTCTCTCGCCCGCCTCTTTCTCGTGTTGGGCGGACTGTCTCGTGCGAAGGGCTTGGACTACATCCAGTGGCGTTGCCGTGGAAGATACAAGACTAGTGGAATTGACCCAAAGTGCAAAATTATCGAAGACGTCTACGGCGAGTCACCGCCACCCCCTGCCCTTTCGGAAGCGCATTTGTGGCGGAACGTTGAGGCCAGAGCCTTGCCAAGCTATCGGACCATGTGTTTCCCGAATCGCTTTGGAAAGCCTTCGGGGAACACGTTGGGGAGGACGGGGAAGAGGAGGAGAGTGTCAGGGATGGGCGTGTTCGGGGCCCCTTGAGGGCTCTTGTGAGCTTTTGGAGGCGTCTTGGGGCATGCTGGCCGAAGGTTGGGTCAGATCTTGAAGGCATCTTGAAGGTCATCTTGGCCGTCTGGAGGCCATTATGACCCGTTCGGGCCTTCCTGGAGGACGTCTTAGGTCTCGTGGGTCATCTTGGAGGTCTCTTGCGGGCCTTTTGGACAGTCTAAGCAATTTTGAGGCCATCTGGGGCCGTCTTGGGTGCATCTTGGGCCATCTTCGCTGTCTTGGAGGCCTTCTTGGCCGTCTTGGAGGCCATCTTAGGCGTCTTCGGGGCCATCTTGGGACGTCTTGGGCTCTTCTTGGGGCCCTCTTGGGGGCCTCTTGGGCTATCATGGGGCCATCTTGGAGGCCTCTTGGGCTCCCTTGGGACGATGTTGGGGGCCTCTTGGGCCGTCTTGGGCCGTCGGAGAGCTGATAAGAAGAAAATGCCAAAATCCTTCAGAAACCTAACGAAAATCAATGAGTTGTGCCCTTTCGGGCCGTCCTGGAGGACGTCTTGGAGGCCTCTTGGGGGCCTCTTGGTCAGGCTTAGGCCATCTTGGAGCCATCTTGGGCCGTCTTGGAGGCTTTTTGGACGAACTTGAAGGCATCTTGGACTCTCTCGGGCCGTCTTGGAAGCCATCTTGGACCATCTTTGGCGACTTGGAGGCCATCTAGGAGGCTATTTCGGGCCAACCTGACCAGCTTAGAGGCCATCTTGAAGTGTCTTGGATTTGTTTGCAGACGTTGGGGTGGATTGCGGTGGTTTCTGGACCTTCCGGGACCCCGGCGGGACGGGCCGAAGCCCCAGGGAGTTTCAAAAAGAACCAAAATCGAAAGGGTCTAGCACGCCAGGCACCCCTGTGGCAAGCCAACAGGGGGCGGCGGATCTAGTGGCCTTCGGCCCATCCCGCCATCGCGCCTGGGTTGTAGGTCAGAGGCCTTTGGGATGCCTTTGGGGATCTCCTGGTAAGCATCTGGGAAGCCTCTAAGATTCGGTTTTGGGATGTCCTGGGTGCTGTTCCTTTGAGGGGGCTTTTGGGGCTCGTTTTGGGCCTCTGGGAGGCCTCCTGGAGCTCGTGGGGGCCTCTTGGGGGCCTGCTGGCGGTTTCGGGAGCCATCTTTGAGCGAAGGGCTCGAAATGCCGGTTCGTGCACCCCCTCTGGAGCCTTTTTGTTGGCCCTTCTTGGAGCTTTATCGGGCCCGTCTTGCGGCCTTCTGGGCCGCTTTAGAGCGTCGAAAGTCAGAAAATGTTTCAATGGGAAGCCAATGATTTGGACATATCGGGGCCCTCTTGGGGAGCCTCTTGGAGCCCTCGTCTTCGGGGCCTCTTGGGCCGCCTGCGGGCCCTTAATTAGAAAATTCCGAAACCGAACACAGAGCACAGAGAACTCTAGAAGCTTGGGGAGCGCTCCACTTCGTGCCTCGAGGCACGGTGGTGGATACGCGTAAAGAGCGAATCGTTGCCGAGTGCCCGTTAGCAATGAGACTCACACGCGCAGAAATGCATCAGCAACGCACATGTGTTCCAGCCCTCTGATTGGAAAAGTTGTATACGTCCCCGCTTCCTGCGTGCTGATGTTGCGGGGCTGGCTGCTGCTGCTGCTGCTGCTGCTGCTGCTGCTGCTGCTGCTGCTGCTGCTGCTGCTGCTGCTGCTGCTGCTGCTGCTGCTGCTGCTGCTGCTGCTGCTGCTGCTGCTGCTGCTGCTGCTGCTACTGCCCGCGCTTCCGATTTCGCACATCCCTCATCCCACTTGGCAGATCCATTTGCGCCCGTGCGTCCGATTTGGCCCTCCTCTCAGGCTTCGCGCCCCCAAAGCCCAAAATACACTTCCACAGGGCGGGTTCGCATGTGCCTACGCATCCGATTTCGCCCGCCCCGCGTTTGCTTCGGGCCTCAAAGGAAGCCCTGATTGCGGCCTCATGGGCAGGCTCGCATGCACTGGCAAGCCCGATTTGGCCACCCTTCACACGTTTCGCGCCCCAGAAGGAGCCTCATCTTCGGCGCTGGCGCGCGGTTTCGCGTGCGTCCGCGCATCCAGCTTGGCCCACCCCACGTTGCGTCCCCACAGAGGGCCTCATCTGCCGCCCTGGTGGGTGGACCCGCATGCGCCCACATTCGATGTGCCAGCATGTCGTGATTCAACGGGAGGCCCCAGTTGGCGGGTTCGCATGCGCCCGTTCGCCTTGCGGCCTCAGTCTTTCCACGTTCCGTGCACCATCGGGAGCGCCAACTGCGGCCCCACTGGGCGGGGTCGCACGCGTCCGCGCCCTTCGGCTGAGCCCACGCCTCGCGTTTGTCGCGGCCCATGGGGAGCCCCAATGGACCCAACGATGCGCACGCGTGTCTAGTTTTCGGCTGCCTCCTCACGGCCCCGGCGATTGGGTTCGCACGCAGCCCGCGCGTGCGGTCTGGCCTCCCTTCTCCCACGCCTCGCTGTCCAGAGGAGGCCCCACAGAGGCCCCCAGCGGGCGGGTTCACGCGTGCCCTCACGTGCCAAGTGGTGCACACCTCACACGACTCGTGCCCCACAGAGGGCACCGGCTGCGCGATGTACTACGAGCCCGCGCGTCCAGCTTGGCCCTCCCCTCACGCGTTGCGTGCCCCACAGAGAGCCCCAGCTACCGCCCCAGTGGATGGGCTCGCGTGCGCCCGCGTCCGATTTGCCAGCGTCTCGTCATTCTCATGGAGGCACAAGGCGCGATTTCACGAATGCCCCCGCGCGCGCGATCTCGCGCAGCATTCACACGGTTCGTCCTCCACGGAGAGGTCCGCTTGCGGCCCTACAGGCTGGGAAATATTTCTCCGAACGCCACACCGATGCCCGAACAGCAATCGAAAGACAAATGCACGTTGTCACGTTCCAAAAACGCTGTTGCGCCCCAACCATCCCTCACCTATAGAATCACAGTATTGCCCTTCAGGGCCAAAGCTCCGTGGTTCCAATTTCTTGTGGGTCCTCTATATCTCTACATATCACATATGACTCCAGTGCGAGAATTTGACCCACTAGGTCGCCACATCAAAAAAGATGGATCCAGACGACCGACAGATTGGGTCCACGTGGCTATGGCACACAAGTCACGTGCTGCAAGCCCGCATTGCCTCGCCCGCACTGGAGACAAACTGCAAGCTGGCGTTGGCCCGTGGGCCTGGGTTTTCCGAGCCTTTGGCTGGTTCGCATGCGCCCGCGAGTCTGGTTTGGCCGATCACTTATACGTTGCGCGCCCCAGAGAAGGCCCAAAGCATGGCCCCAGTTGGCAGATTTGCATGTGCCCGCGCGTCGGATTCTGTGGAGTCCTCATTCATTCTGCGCTGACTCAGTAGCCCAAAAATACTGCCCCCGTGGGCTGGTTGGCATACGCCCGCGAGTCTGGTTTGGCTCACCATTTTTATACCCGCGTGCCGTGTCCCAAGAAAAAACAGCAAGTACATCCCAAGCAGACGGGCTTGCCCGTGATCCCTAGGTCCGGTTTGGCACGCGCATGACACGTCTCGTGCCCTACAGAGATTGCCATGTACAGCCCCAGTGAGCGGGTTCGCGCACGGCCCTCTGAGTTGTGTCGGCACACTTTTAACACACCTCGTGCCCCGAATAGAGCCCCGACCACAGTCCCAGCGGGCGGCTTCGCATGTTCGCACACAGGATGAGGACGGGCGGGTCGACGTCTTACCCTCCGACACCCAGATGCAAAGAGAGGCAATCGTCTTCGAATTAGGAGATGTTTGGGCTGGCCGGGACACCGAAAGTCTTGAGGTATCTTATCCGAGCACGGTCGTTGCGGTTCTTACCTTACGAGGCTGCCGCAAGAAAGTCTGGAGCGGGAGGCACTACGCATATTCAGTTTTGAGTAGCCTTGCGACGGGGCTCAGGTCCAAGCACAATGCCCCCCAAGAACAGCTCAAGTTGAAGAATCTCGCAGTTGCTTAATAAACCGCAGCAGTGGGTGCGCGCGCGCTCCGCGCTCCTCACCTCTCCGAGCGCCCAGCCCTGAAGCCCGCGGACCCCAGCCGAGCGTTCGGCGACGGTTTGGGGTTGGTCGGGCCCTTCGTCTTGTACATAGTGGTTGCGCACAGCGCTAGCTCATACAACGAACGCGACGGCTCGATGCACAACACCAGCGCGGAGCTGACACGAAGCCAGCACGCAGGCAGGCCTCATGCACATGGGCGCTGACCGAATCATGACGAATCATAGTTGCGGTCAGCGATCCGGATGAACGCGCCAATTTCGGCCAGATCTGGACCCCCCCCTAGTGAGGCCCGAAGCCATCGCATTCCCCACGCTCGCCTCTGCGAACGTCGCTGACGCCGAAAAGCAAAACGCGCGCACACATGTTGGCATCGTCTCAGCGCTGGAAATGAAGTATAATGCATCAGCATAGGTTCGAATATGCAATGCGAAACCACACCACTGGCATACAGTGCTAGAGCACATCGCCAATACGTTCAGCACCCACACATGTTTTGAACCAGCAAGTGATATGCCAAAACATAATCCTAGCACGCAGTGCTGACGCGCACTTGTAATCCGCAGTGACGGCGCATGGCTACACGCAGTGCTTTTTGTTAGCACATAAGGTGCGACTCATTGTTGATGTGCGATGCGCCTTAGCGATGCAATGTGCTGTAACAGTGCTAACAGTTTGTTTGGGGCTGCTACTCTGTGAAGTATATACTGCCGCGGACTAGCTGGTATTTGGATGTTTGTGCCAATGTTTCACATGCACGTGCGAAGACCGTCCTACAAGAAGTGCAGAGTCATTGCGTAGGATCGGCGTTTGATGCAAAGCAGCACTGCCCCTCACTGATGCGCCCCGCCGAGAGCTTTAATTCTTGTTGTAATATGATTCGGCCACCAGCCCTTGGAGGTCACGGCCCTCGTTACACTTGGATATGGTCTTGCATATATGCTGCAGGACAACCGTTGTTGCGCCCTGTCTTGGCCAGCTGTGACCGAACACCTAGAACCTGCACATAACGCTTTACACATTCTCACTCAAGCACTGCATAAGTCGGCCATCCTTATTGTTTAGTTCGGTTCCGATATCGTGGAAGGTTCTGAAAGATTTGGGTTGGCGTTGGAGGTTCATTGGCTTGACTGGAACCTTGGCAGGCTTGTCATTGCTGCATCACGGAAAGGAACATTGTTTGCCGATCGTCACCTACACGCAGACGTTCCTAGTGTCGCCCTGGGAGTGTGACCATGGTATATTCAACATGTTCGATTCGACATTCTTCTTTTTGGCTCGAGGAATGCCCGGCACCGAGCTGCATCGGCCGTGCCACTCGCTTGCTATGAATGGTCGCTCCAGCATTCTCGCAACTGGTGGGCACTCCCACGGCGGGCGGCTCTGACTTCCTCCGTTGCCTCCACCGCCACCTCCTCCGCCTCTTCTTCCCGATTCCTGCTGCTCCTCTAAGGTGGGCGGCGAGCTGGGCAGCTGGGGTCCCTGCGCAAAAGGCGGGGCGCTCGGCTCCCTGATCGGTTCTTGCCTCGCGTGCGCGTTCGTGTCGCAGCTGTGGGCAGGCCAGCAGAAGCGAGTCGACGAGATCGTCTGGGGGCTCTCTTCCAACTGCCCAGAGACCCTGCGCGATCCAGCCGCGCCATTGTCTGAGCTGCTCCGGTGCGAGGGGGAGGCGGACAGGGCAAAGTCGAGAGCAAGGTTGGCCTTCCTCAGGAGGACGAGAGAAGGCCAGGAGGCAGCGCACGCTGCTGAAGTGGATGCAGCTCAGTCGGCCATCAATGATCTCCAGGACAACTCCCATGTCTACAGCATGGTTGGCTCGTGGAACGACTGGAAGGCGCCCGAGACCATGGACAAGGACATTGGCGTGCAGCTCGTCTCCTCTGGCGTCGGTGTGGACGCGGCTTCTGTGAGCGCCTCTTTGTGGAAGTTCCCCATCACGATTCAGGCCCCGTCGGGCAGTGCCAGTGACAAAGAACGCACCGAAGAGTTCCAGATCCTTGTGGACGGCGACGGTTGGGAAAACGTGAGATGGCGCCTCTTCCCCAGCAGCAAGGACAACGCCTCCTGGCTATTGCAACCAGGCGGTGCCGCCTCTGGTGCTGGCGTTGCTTCTGCCGTTGGCGAGACCGCCCACGGGCGCAATTGGAAGGTACAGGGTTTTCCTGGCGACTCCCTCCTCGTGACCTACAACTCCGTGTCTCGGGAAGTCTCCTGCGATGTTGTAACGACCAAACTTTCGACCACCATCAGCGTCACGACGCACACAACCACCGTCACGTTGGCGAAGCAGACCCAAGGCGCGCTCGCCACCAGCGTTGCAGCGAAGGAGGGATTAGGCTCAATATTTCTCGTGTGGGCTCAATAGTTATGATTTCTGGTGGCCAAAATGTTTCAGCGTATGTTCCATCAACCATTTACTCCGATTGCACCTGATTTAATTTGAAGTGTTTTTGTTACGAGCCCTTTGGGTATTGGGTTGGTTTGTTTGTCGGTTAGTTGGTGGGTCGTTTGGTTATTTTGTTCTTCGGTCGGTTAGTTGGGCGGTTGGTTGTTGTTGTTGGTCGATTGGTCGGTAGGGTCATTGGTCGGCTAGTCGGGCAGTTGGTTATGTGTTTGTCAGGTTGCCCGGTTGGTTGGTTGGTTTGGCGGTTTGTTTGACCAATTGTTGGATTGTGTGCCGGGTTGGTTGTGTTGGCGGTTGTTTGTTTGGGGCGGAGTATGTACTATTCCATTCCATCGGTCACATGGCAAGACCACAAATACAATCCACTCGTCACGTGGTAACGCAGGTGAGCGGAACGGATATTTGTCCATTCCTCGTCACATGGCCGCTTGGGAGGCAAGCAAAATACGTATATGCTGTAAGTATTCGTCACGTGGCACCACATGGGGGCGGACAACACATGTTCCTACTCCGATCGTCACGTGGCATACTCACGTGACAACACAGCGGGAGCGGAAACACTTAGCTTGGCGAAGGACCCACGCATATCCCGTAATGAGTGACGTAGTTGTGAATATCGTCTTCGGTGGAGCTCCTTATGGGGCCACGGAATGTATGAGGGATGTGCTGAATTGGGCGCGGTGGGCGCATGCGAGTGCAGCCACTGTGGCCGTCGGTGGAGCTCCCTATCAGGCCACGAAACATGTGAGGGATGTACCAAAAACGGGCCCGGCTGACGCTTGCGAACACCGCCATTGGGGGCTTCGGTGGCGCTCCCTATGGGGCCACGAAACGTGCGAGGGGTGAGCCGAAATGGGTGCGGCGGACGCATGCGAACACCGCCACTGGGGCCTTCGGTGGAGTTCCCTCTGGGGCCACGAAACGTGCGAGGGGTGTGCCGACATGGGCGCCGTGGGCGTATGCGAACGCAGCCATTGGGGTGTTGGGTGGAGCTCCCTCTGGGGCCACGAAGCGTGTGAGGGGTGTGTCGGCATGGATGTCCTTATGGGGCCACGAGACGTGTGAGGGGTGTGCCGACATGTGCGCGGTAGGCGCATGCGAACGCAGCCACTTGGGTTTTCGGCGGAACACCTTTTCGGGCCACGAAACTTGTAAGGTGTGTGCCGCATTGGTTGGCTGTTGCGGAGGGCAGAGGCAAGGATAGGAGGAGGGAGAAGGGGAGGAGGAGGAGGAGGAGGAGGAGGACGGAGAGGAGACGCGGGTCGTTGCCTTCTCAAAACGAGGACACAACACCACAGGATGGTTGGGGAAAAACAGTAGCTCATATACGCGATTCGTCACATGGCAAAGCAAAGGGACGGACAAAGGATGATTCGACCTATACGACCACCTCTTCGGGTGAGAAGGAGGCTTGGGGGGGGAACGAACATGTCACTCAATCGATCTCATTGCCGATACTATTGTCAATTGCACGATCTCGCGATCGATCTCACCATCGATATCGAGATCGATCTCTTCACCGATCGCATGATCGATCTCGCTATCCATCCGACTTCACTATCGATCTCATTACGGGGCGGGACACCGACGGGACACCCACCGACGCGACACCAATGGGACACCAACGGGACCTCGACGGGACACCGACGGGACTTCGACGGGGCGACGGGACACCGACGGGACACCGACGGGACACCACGGCGGGACAACGCGGCCACCGCCCGCCCACCGGAGAAGGTTCGGACAGTTCGGACAATTGTCTTGCTCCGCCCTAGCAACAGTGGAATCAGTCCTCTCGCCCGCCCACGCAGCTTCGCCCGCGACATGAATCCGAAACCGAATCCGATTTCCCGGTGGAGGACTCCCCGTTCCACTTCGATCTCACTCCCAAACCTCGGATTCCACACGTCCGCGCCGCAGAGGTCGGAAAGGACGAAAAACACAATGCGATTATTATTCGTCACTCTTCATTCGTCACGTGGTAACGTAGCGGGGGCCGACTAAGTACGATTTGACGCGCCTAGTCACATGGAAACGCAGGGGAGCGGACAACACTCTGTTGTACCTTGCTCGTCACATGGCACGGCAGGGAGGGGGCAGAAACATACTGCTCAACTGTATACTCGACGAATCACGTGGTCACTCCAAGGAGCGGAAACTCGTCGCGTTCTGCGTTTCTCGTCACATGGCAACGCACGGTGGGCGGGGAAAATCTGATTTTACATTGTCCGTCACGTGGCAACGCAGGGGAGCGAAAAACAGAATAGTCAGTTTCGCCCGTCATGTGGTAGCGCATGGATGCGGAAAGAAAGTTTGTGTTACACGCTCGTCGTCAAATTGTCACACGTCGCTGGCTGTTCGCAGAATTCCATGGTTACTGGTCACATCGCACCGCAGACGGCTATATTTGACCCCCCACGTGGCATCACAAGGGGGCGGACAGCATACCATTCTACTCCGATCAGCACGTGGCAACGCCACGGGGTGCAGAAAATAGAAGCTACTCGAAACATGGCCCCGCAGTGGGAGGGAGAGGGGGGAAAGGGGGGAACCGTACTGACGTACTTAACTCGCCCCATGGCACCGCAACGGGGGGGGGGGGTGGACGCATAATATGCTTGACGCTTCGCATATCTCCACCACTGGTTGCACTTCCCTGGCCCCTGGTTTCCGTCACCGCCACAGCCTGGCTGCGTCTGCCGTTGCAGCTGGCCGGTTGGGATTCTGGCTTGCTGGTTTACTCAGGAGTGGTTCAGCCTTCTTGATCGACCAGGTGTGTTCCTCCTCGTCTGTCTGCAGCCAAGCACGTTGGTCTGCTTATGCAGCCCCGCGCTTCGCCACTCCCGTGGCGCGTCGACCTCTGGCGCCTGGGGCGACAAGGTCAAATTCATTCATCTCGGTGGTCTCATCCCTGGGGTGCCCGCACGCTTACACAGCCACCTGGCAGCCCCCGGCGGCTCCTGCAGCCTCTGCCCTCGGCGCAGCCCAGCTTCCCTCGGCGATAGGCTTGCAGCTGCCTGCGCGCGCGCTAGGCGATTAGTTCTGCTCGTAGCCCGGGCCGACCTGTGACTTCGTCGGCGCCTTCGCCTGCGGCTGCGACCGAAAAAAGTCTCCACCCCAGACTCCCGACGTCGTGATCTCTCCGCAGCGTCCACCCCCGGAGGCCTGGACCCCTTCTCCGGAGCCGGCTTTTCATCCCCAGTCGTTGTTTGACGGTCCCGAGGCCCGGTAGGGGCCCCCAGAAGCCGAAAATTGAGAAAAAATGTCCCGTCGTGGCTTTTTTTCACAGAGCGAGGGAGTCTGGGACCAGCCCATCCAGCAGCGATGCCCAGCCGAGCTGCATGGATCAGAGAAGTGCGGGGAGCATGCCGTGGAACAGAGAGGGGCGCTGGGCTAGCCGTCCAATAGGCTCAGGATTTGCTTGCGCAGCCACAGGAGGCAACCATGGAGGAGGCGGAAGTGGAGGAGGAGGAGGAGGAGGAGGAGGAGGAGGAGGAGGAGAACGAGGAGAAGAGCGAGGAGGAGGAGGAGGAGGAGGAGGAGGAGGAGAAGGGACGTGCGCGCTTGCGCTCTCGGTACTGGAACCTGTTGACACCTTATGTGGACCATCTTCGGGCCCCGATAAGGCCCTTTGGGAGGCCTGTGGTGCCCTGTTTGGGTCCAGTGGAGGCAGCTTGGGGCCCATGTGGATCCTCTTGGGGGCATTGGGCGCCCTCCTGGAGTCATGTTGGGGGACATCGATACAAGAACAGGGGTTGTCAAGTAGCCTCGCACCCCTCAAGACGAAAAATCTGCCATTGGCGCCCTCTTCGGACGCTCTTGGGTGGTTATTGGGCACTCTTGGGACAGTATTGGAGTTTTCTTGAGGCTCTCTTGGGCCATCTTGAAGCCACTTTGAGGCCTCGGAAGCCCATCAGAAGCGAAAGGGCGAGAACGCGAACATGCAAATACTGGTTTCCCGTAGGTTCTGGAAGGCGTGTGACTTCTCGGGTGCCTTATTGGGGGGTTATGCGGCCACTTGAGGCCAGATTCAAACGGTCTTAGGCCATATGAGAGCACGTTGGAAGCCATAACGGGCGATCCTCGGATATAGTGAGCCGTCTTGGAGGTCATCTTGGGCTCAGTTGGGCCATCTTGGAGCCATCTGGGGACCTAACGAGCCCTATGACACCTCGCCCGCCCCCCCGTCCAGACTTAGGGAAAGGAGGGGAAGGAGGTAGAGGAAGGGGGCAAGCTTCCACCCCCGAAGGACGGCCGTCTCGCTAACTCCCACCCGCCCTCTCACCACGTAAGTAGCATTTGAGTCGCAGCATGGGCAGGGGGCGTCATCGACTATGATCGGGAACCAATGCAGACGCCAGTCAGGTGCGCGACGCCCGCGAGATGCGTCGCGCATGCCAGGGTACATTCATCATCCATCCATGTCAAAATACAATGCAAAGTGATCGTGGGGCTGTCGCGCAGGATCGTTGCAGGAAAATTAGTGGATATTGTTTTTCTGACAGGGTTGATGGGCCTGCGCGCAGCAGGCAATATTTCGTCTGTGCCAAAAATTGCAATTTGATCGTTTCGCGCCCGCACAAAGGGGATGTTAGCATCGCAGACAGCACGCAAGATGCCGCCCGCCCCTGCCATCCCTGTCGAAAAGCTATGCACAGTGACCGCGGGGCGTCCGCGCATGATCCAGAGTTTGGTGCAAAGTGCATGTTGTATTGTTTCTTGCAAGGGACGGTGGGGGGTGCTGTCATTGCACACAGCAGGCAATATGCCAGCCTTTCGCCGGCCCTCTCAAAAACAAATGCAAAGTGATCGCGGTGCGTCCGCACATGATCAAGATTTGTATGCAAAGCACTGTGCAATGTTTGCAAGGGGTGATGGAGGGGTTGGCAGCCCCATTTTCTCGCCTGTCGGGTGGAGTGCTC